CAACTCCCAGAATTCCTCAGCCAGCAAAGCTGGCTGAGGAATTCTGGGAGTTGAAGTCCACCAGTCTTAAAGTTGCCAAGTTTGAGGACCCCTGTCCTAGAGTGAGAAGCTATCAGTTGCCCTCTCAACATGCATTACGTAGTAAAATTCTTACTTACCCTGTTCCCTTGTCATGGTAGCAGCACCCCCATTCAACTGCCCAATGTTCTCCAGATAGTCTTGGAGCATCCTAGGAAAGACCAAGTCAGCATCTATTATGTTGCCATGATGGAACAAACCACAGCACAGAAACATTGACTGACTTGCAGGACAAGATAACAACCATTGCAACAGAGAATACTTATAGCTCTCAGAATCAGTGTGTGGAAAGATGGGCAGTCAAAGTCATTAGGGCTTCCAATCCTTTTTCTTGGATACCTGCCCAGACTCAATGGTGCAGAGAAGACACTCTTCAAACATTCAGATAAGTTTTTAATCCCTGAGTTCAGCCAACGTACTAAATTCTAAATCTGAAGGAACAAAATGCAGTTGCTGTGTTCATACCCCATGCTATGCTCAAATAAATAAATGACGTGTTCCTACCTGACACCCAAGATAATAGTTGGGGCCCTACAACTTGCTAAACTATAAGTTCCCAAGTTCCCATTTTAGCTTAGGCTAGTTTAAATCCAGCTAGTATATGCCTGATTATGAACATTAACATGTTGGTAGGCCAAGGCCAAGGCAAACCAGATCTAAAAAGTCCCCAAATCCAGCTGAAATACAAATTACTTGAATGTGGAGATGGAATCTTTCCCTGTTATTTTAGAGATCAAATGGAAAGGGGATGTCCTGGGATGGTAAGAAAAAGGGACAGAAAGACAGTCAGCCAACCTTCTTCCAAATTTTGGCCCTCTTGGATCTCAGCCTGTCATATGTAGCAGAAGTGCTGAATTTTGGGAAAGGCACACCTGTTGGATGGCATGTACTTACTTTAGAGAAACTTGGCTTGGGTGCAGAGGATTCAGGATGGGTTGATCCATAGAATCGTGGGGGATCTCAGGTCTAGAAGACATTAAAAAAAAGAGTGGGGCAGGTACAAAGACATTTAGTCACCTCTGCCGAATGGAAAATGGATTGCAGGCCCATTTTCAGATCTGAAGGCTCCTTTAGGGGACAGTTTCCTGTCCATCTCTGTGTTCAGAGAAACCCTCATCCCTTACAACTAGGTGGTACCTGGCACTGCTGTTCTTTGGTGCCGCCCATCTGGTCGGCACAATGAAGAACCAAACTGCTAGAAATAGCCCCTTCATTCTGGTCCTGGTGGGCAGGGGCAAGACGCTTCACGTTCTGCAGGACACCGGAGGTAGAACTATCTCTCCGGCATGGAGACCGCTACCTGCAATGACAGAGATGTCTATGGCACTCCGTGAACACTGAGGTTCCTGTTGCCCATTGTGGGCTAGCAAAAACAAAGTTTCCAGCCACAGAAGACAGACTGGAAGACAGACTACAGCCTTCGGGCCGGAGACAATATCATGACCCGTCCATCTGGAAGAAAAGTCGGTCTGGTCCGATTTTCCACCCAAGTGTAGCTACCTGCCTTTAAAAACAGTCAGCCCAACCCGTAATTCACATCCTTAGCACCTTTTACTAACCTGAATCAAGCAGGGAAGCAACATTTCATTCTTCCTTCCCACACATTATTCTACATTCCAGGTGACCTCACCCCTTTCATGCTGCTCCCACACATTACCTGTCAGAAGATGGGGTGCAGCGGTAGCACAGATTCTAGCATGCCCTTTACCACATTCAGCTGCAGCTCGGGGAAAATACATTTCTCAGGGTGTTCTCTCCCCTCATTCATTGCAGATAGAAAACTAACCCACTACCAGAGAGACAGATTGCAGCAGAGCCCGTCAGTTACTCCATTAATTTCTCAACGTTTTGCTTTAAAGTAGATAAGAATGGTTAAAAAGCATGTCTGACCTGCAGGTGGACGTGGCACAGCCTTCCCTATCTTTTCCCACTGCTAGTGCTCCAGCTGCAGGGAACGCAGCCAGCGAGGGGCGGGCGTGGGGTGGGTGGGGGAACCTAATGCCCAACAGCTCCTGCCTCCACTCCTACACTCATGGACTTCGGGCCGGAGAGTCCGGTGATGCCATCCTCCCTCCCCCCTGCCCGTTGCACATCCATTCTGCAGGGCAAGCCCTCACCCTCTGCGGGGCAGGGCGTGGCACAGCAGCAAGGAGCAACGCCGTTGAGCATGGATCTCCTCTTCCAGTTACCCAATTCTCCAGGCAGCGCGGATCCGCGGTGTGGGGTTTGGGCGAGGTGGGGGGGGGCGGACGTAGAGAGAGGCCTTTCTTCTCCTGGCGCAGTCGCTTCGCAGCGCCGGTTGGTGCCCATCGGCCGCAGTCTCGGGGCCACGTGGCGGAAAGGCGGGTGCTGGCTGACACGTTCATTCCCGCCTCTCTCCCCCTTCCGAGTTCTGGACGTCTTCTAGGCTAGGGCAGGTTTGCTTCGTTGTTCCCCGCGCTCTTTGCAAGCCGGTCACTGGGGAGGATCTACGAAGCGCTGGTTCCTAAAGGGCCTTCAGAAAGATCTCGTCGCGATTCCTGGATGGGGGAAGGAGAAAAACTGCGGGGAGCGTCTTCTTTCCAGTTCCACAGATCTCCTGAGATCATCACTCCGGGGTATGCCTGCCCTACAGAAGGAACACTGATAAAATATCCTTTTTGCAGTTCCTCTCCCACGGAAGACTCCATCGTCTGCTTTTGAACGCAAGGAGCCACGGGTGGGTGGATGACATTAAAGGAAGTTTCATTTTTTGAGTAATAGTGCTTTTAAGGGCTGGAGGGCTGGCTCATATTCAGCATCCCTACACATACCATATCCTATGCCATATCCACATAACTTTACGAAATTTATAAATGAACGTAATGAATAAAGAGAGAGATTGAACTACACACTATACAGTATATCTTCCATTTGAGAAGAGCGATCCCCTTTGGGGTGAAATATGGACACTAACCTCACTATCAATACAAAAGCTACGAGTGGCACAAAGAGCCTTGGAAAGATACATGCTCGGCATTACAAGACAAGATAGGAAGACCTGCACATGGATTAGAGAAGAAATAAAAGTATACAATATTATCAAGAGAGTAAAATAATTGAAATGGAAATGGGCTGGTCACATAGCAAGAAGAACTGAAGGCAGGTGGATGAAGGCAGTCATAGAATGGATCCCACTTGATAAAAAGCATCCATGAAAGAGACCTAAAACAAGATGGCTTGACAACATCAGCAAGTTTTGAGGGCCTAACTGGCAAAATAAAGCTCAGAATTGTATTAGTTGGAAACAGCACAGGCAGAAGAGATATTCACCCTGCAGTGGATAGACAGTGGCTAAAATGATGATGATGATGATGATGATGATGATGATATATACACACACTATATTAGAAACATCAATCAAGCAGAACACAGCAAACTCCAACACCAACAAACACAGACCAAGAGTCCCAACCAATCAGGATGAAGAAAAACCATTCTGGCACAGCAGTAGGAAAGTCTGACTCACAGACGAACACAATACAGAAGCCTGATGATGGCAGATGAGATTCTGCCGAAACGTTGCTACAACTTTAAAAGCACAACTATAATGACGTGGGAAAATACCCGAACAAAGCTGAATGCCATACATGTAAGTACCCGCGAAAACTTAAGAAAAAATATATATATATACACACATACATACACACATACACACAAATACACACACATATATATATGTAGTGTATAGTTCAATCTCCCCATATATATTAAAGTATACATTACATTCCTTTACAAATATGTGGATATAGATAAATTTGTAAAGGGGTATAATGCAAATCTAGCCTATAGTTCAATATCTATCATCTATCTACCTATGTATCATCTATCTAACTATAGCTTAAGTTTGCATTACATTCCTTTACAAACTTTTAAAGTGCTTGAAAGAAAGCATGGGGACGGATCCTGCAACTATGCCATCCAGTGATATAGGAAGAGAGCTTTGTCCCCTATAAAATTATGGCCATCACCCCTATTGCCAATTCCCAGAGGTCCTCTTATTTGCAACAATTGAGTAAGCCAACACCTATCTGGCAGTTCAGATTTAATAAAAGAATATGTGTCTACTTCAAACCATTCCTGGTGATTTCATGGACCATCTACAGGGCTTTCTTGGCAAAACTATAAAGTGGTTTGTCATTGCTTTTTCTCCCTTCCCAATTAGCCTGCAACTCTGAGATTTCTTCCTTCTGTTAAAAGGCTAAATCCAATCCTACTTTTAAGATGACCCTATGTTTATGATGTGCTGCCATCTAGCTATTCTGCGATAGTATTACTTCCTTAATTTTTTTTTGGCCCCCAAAACACAGTTGGCCAGATGTAAATAACAGAATGTTAAAATATTTTAAACTTAAATAATAACTGGAGTTTTAATTTTTACAGCTATGTTCAAATTGTAAAACATATGAAGTGGCATTTTTTAATTCTATTCTTATTTATTTTATTTCATTGAAAAGAAATTCTGTACAATCATTTAAATATAAATGAGTCTATATAAAGTGGGCAATAAAATGATTTGATGATACATAATCAGTAATAAATAAGCATATTTAGGCAGACGGTGAAACATTAACTACCGTGTTTGCCCGAAAATACGATTGACCCCGAAAACAAACCCTAGCTGATTTTCACACCTGTGCCTAATACAAGCCCTGCTCCAAAAATAAGGACTAGTTAAGCCCTGCCCACCATTTGACTGTACAGGTGAGGCGCGGGTATAAAAATCAAGTTAGGGCAAATGTGGGGGGATGGAGGTGCGCCATGCCCCCAGTACCCACTTACCTCATTGCACCGGTGGAGCTGCAGCAAAATGCTGCATGGTTCGTTGCACAGTGGAGCCACTCGCAGAACACCACGAGGCTTGTAGCACCAGTGGAGCTGCTCACTGCAGAACACTGATGCTCGACTCACTGGTGGAACCACTCATTTGGTGAGACTCGTCTCGCCGGTGGAGCTGCTTGCGGCAGAACACTGCGAGACTTGTCTCACTGCTGAAGCCACTTGTGCATGCAATGCCACAACACACCATGCAGCATCCAGCTGCAAGCAGCTCCACCAGCAAGATGAGCCTTGCAGCAAGCCTCAGGCGGCTCCACGGGCACAACAAATCTTGTGGCATTCTGCTGTGAGTAGCTCCACCAGCGAGACCAGGTAAATGGGTGTGGGGATGTGTGAGGCACCTCCACCTCCAAAATAAGACATCCCCCGAAATAAGCCCCAGTGGTTATTTTGGGGCCCAAAAGAAAATAAGATAGGGTCTTATTTTTGGGGAAACACAGTATCTACATTTAGGAAGCTTCATGACAAAATGATTTGCTGGATAAATTCCAAGATTGGGTTTCATTCCTACAATAAAATAGAGTAGGGTTGTGAAATGCATGAAGAGAATTGCATGTGAAATGCAACTATCCAAGAAAATTGACTATTTTCGGGCTGATTAGTTTCTTAGAAATATCTGTTTAGAAACCCTAGAAAGAAAAGTTTTATGGTAGATGATTAAGGCAGAATTTTTCATTGAACTTGCAGAATTGGCTGACACCTCTCTCAATACAACTATCAAATTTAAATGTTCCACTAACATTTTTTTATTGCTGTATGGTTCTGGAAATTTTTTGACAATCACGTTCACATCAAGGTATATACACAGCTCAAAAAAATAAAGGGAACACTTAAACAACACAACATAACTCCAAGTCAATCACACTTCTTTGAAATCAAACTGTCCACTTAGGTAGAACACTGATTGACAATCAATTTCACATGCTGTTGTGCAAATGGAATAGACAACAGGTGGAAAGCATAGGTAGTTAGCAAGACATCCCCAGTAAAGGAGTGGTTCTGCAGGTGGTGACCCCAGACCACTTCTCAGTTCCTATGCTTTCTGGCTGATGGTTGGGTCACTTTTGAATGCGGTGCTTTCACTCTAGTGGTAGCATGAGACGGAGTCTACAACCCATACAAGTGGCTCAGGTAGTGCAGCTCATCCAGGATGGCACATCAATGCGAGCTGTGGCAAGGTGGTTTGCTGTGTCTGTCAGCTTAGTGTCCAGAGCATGGAGGCGATACCAGGAGACAGGCCAGTACATCAGGAGACATGGAGGAGGCCGTAGGAGGGCAACAACCCAGCATCAGAACCGCTACCTCTGCTTTTGTGCAAGGAGGGACAGGAGGAGCACTGCCAGAGCCCTGCAAAATGACCTCGAGCGGGCCACAAATGTGCATGTGGCTGCTCAAACGGTCAGAAACAGACTCCATGAGGGTGGTATGAGGGCCTGACGTCCACAGGTGGGGGTTGTGCTTACAGCCCAGCACCGTGCAGGACATTTGGCATTTACCACCAAGATTGGCAAATTCGCCACTGGCGCCCTGTGCTCTTCACAGATGAAAGCAGGTTCACACTGAGCACATGTGACAGACGTGACAGGGTCTGGAGACGCCATGGAGAACGTTCTGCTGCCTGCAACATCCTCCAGCATGACCGGTTTGGCAGTGGGTCAGTAATGGTGTGGGGTGGCATTTCTTTAGGGGGCCGCACAGCCCTCCATGTGCTCGCCAGATGTAGCCTGACTACCATTATTCTCAGACCCCTTGTGAGACCATATGCTGGTGCGGTTGGCCCTGGGTTCCTCCTAATGCAAGACCTCATGTGGCTTGAGTGTGTCAGCAGTTCCTGCAAGATGAAGGCATTGATGCTATGGACTGGCCCGCCCATTCCCCAGACCTGAATCCAATTGAGCACATCTGGGACATCATGTCTCGCTCCGTTGCATCACAGACTGTCCAGGAGTTGGGGGATGCTTTAGCCCAGGTGTGGGAGGAGATACCTCAGGAGACCATCTGCCACTTCATCAGGAGCATGCCCAGGCATTGTAGCGAGGTCATACAGGCACTTGGAGGCCACACACACTGAGTCTCATTTTGACTTGTTTTAAGGACATTACATCAAAGTTGGATCAGCCTATAGTGTTTTTTTCCACTTTAATTTTGAGTGTAACTCCAAATCCAGACCTCCATGGGTTGCTAAATTTAGTTTCCATTGATAATTTTTGTGTGATTTTGTTGTCAGCACATTCAACTATGTAACGAACAGAGTATTTAATAAGAATATTTCATTCATTCAGATCTAGGATGTCTTATTTTTGTGTTCCCTTTATTTTTTTTGAGCAGTGTATTTGCTCAGTGGTGAACTGAATAACCCACATTTATTTGGGTTTATAATTACAATAACTATTTGAAGTTAGAAACAAGAAACCACATTTTGGCTGAACCCAGCCAGTATGTGAGTAACAGTTAAGCAGCAAAATTCTTAATCTGTCTTGGCTAAGGAGATTGAACTAAGTCATTCTTTTAGTGGCTGAATTTGCCCAGCATGCTTTAAGTGCATTTTCATAATATACCACGCTTGATTAATTTAAACCTTAGTTTTTGTACGTGCATAACTATGCAAGTTGTGTGAACCCAACACATTTAGTTTGTGGTTCCAGAAAATGGGTTAATTTAGTAACACCCAAATCAGAAGAAGTTTGGTAAGACCTTTTCCATCTAACAAACTTTATTAAATGGCATAAACTTTCATGAGTTGCTTCTCACTTCAATAGGTACATCATCAGAACATTAAATAAATGGAATAATTTCATTCCTTTATCAGATCACAGAAGCTTCTGCTTTTCAATCAAATATATTGTTTAGAAAAGATGCTACCAAAATTCTGGCTTTTGATCATCACAGACTAATTGGGATCTCCTCTTTCAAAGTATTTTATAACTAAATGTAGTATTTGAACTCAATCAGTGCTTGATTCCCACAGCCACTTAATCTAATTAGTAAATCTGTTTAGGAGGGGGGTTTGCATAAACACTACATTCCCAAGCTTAATTTAGTTTTATGCAACCAAAATTAAGATGTGCAAAACACAATCCCTAGTGCTTCAACTGATTTCAGCATGATGTCCTTAACCATAAGTATCAGCCTGCCCTTCCTGTTACAGGATAGTTGTGTTGAATGAAACAGGCACAATTACATTGCTTTAATTATAATCAATACATTTAACAACAATGAAAACAAAGGTTTGATCTTCTTCTACTCATATATTAAGTGTCCAAGCTTCACCTGGCAAATATGACAAAGAGTGTTCAGAATCTTCAGAAGTTCTGTTTATTTTCTTGGAAGTGAAATCATACAATAATCTTAAATCCCACATTTTATCTTTCCTCTTCCATTTTCCTTGATGCCTCGATTAGCTTGATGTGGACAGTCTTGTCAGTTTAATGCTTTCTTAACCTAATGTTTTCTTTCTCCTCTGCTCCTTCTCCCTTTATTGCCTTAGAGGGTTTTTTCCCCTTATTCTCCCGATTCATCTCCACCAACTGACCATCTCAGGGAATTTGGTCTGTCTCCTAGACTCATTTTCATACAAAACAAGCCCGGGGCGGACAGGTTCGCGATGGTAATGGATGAAGATTGAATAAAGTAAGTTAGCCCATTACAAGGAAGTGCTTAGGAAAATCGCCGCGGACTTTTCCCTTCCCTCCCCAGAAAAAAGGAGGAGACACACTGAAATGGCATGAAGGGCGACAGAAGTGCAAGGTTCCTTTGCTCAAACCCCTTTGAACCCTAATCCGCCTTCCGGCCTTTTGCGCTTTGTACCGGGTGGGACGAACGGGAAATGCCCACCACAAAAATGGCTGCAGCGGCTGACGGAGCAAAGGCGCCTGCTCGTCACAAAGAGGGCGGAGCCTGCCTTTCAAGGGCCGTGTCTGACTTTTGTCTTCGCCTTGTTTGCTGTATCGGCGCCTTCCTTTCCTGGGCGGCCGTAGACACTGATTCCGCCGACGAGGGAAGACAAAGTCAAGACCATGCTGGGACTGTCGCTTTTGCTGGGCTGCAGCACCGGTTGGCTCCTGTACTATTGGGCGCACGTCCCCAAGGTCAGCCTTAAAAGTACCGGCACTGCAGCTTCTTTGGGCACGCTTAGGGTTGGGTTAGGGGAGGCGGTGAAACAGAGCCTGTTGGCGAAGCGATGAGCGGAGCGGCTTCTGAGTCTTCTTTTTTCTTCGGGGCGATGGGAAATAAAAACGACTCTTAATTTCCCTGAAATGTATTAGAAGGTTCTCACCAAACTCCGAAAGGGCGCATAGCTCTGACCCCGGTTTCCATCCTTTCCGTTTCCTACTACCTTACTATATGGAGGATTGCCAAAAAGCCACTCAATTGAAGTATACTGCACTTAAGCTGCTGTTTCTGCTCTTGCTACAGAAGTCATTAGGGACAAACTCCTCACTACTTTCTTGCTTTCTCCTGCCTACTTCTGTTTTTTCACCTTCGTTTTAGTTGGCAAGTCTTGGCATGTTCTGGCCAAAATACAACTCCCTTTATGCTGTTTTCTTTTTTTCATCTCCTTTTCATTAAAGAATATACAAGCTGAGTTTTGGTTGATTTTTATCATACTTCTAGCCAAAAGCTCTCCAGATATTTCGTTTGTTTGCAATTACGCCTTTCTCGTGGGTGGAGATGTGCTTGTTTTGGCTATCAAGTATTATTGTGCAGATGTCTTTGCAACTTGGTTAACTCACATTATAGTTTGTTTAAATTTATATTCTGCTTTTACTTTGTACAACTGAAGGCAGCATACATAATATCCCTCCTGTTTTCCCCTCAACAACCATGCTGTGCAGGGCTGACCTAAAAGAGTTTGAAGGCCAAAGCGAAGACTAGAACTCTCACTCTTCCAATTTCTAATACAGCACCCTAATCATTATACCACACTGGTTCTAGCCTGGACAACTGGATTAGTGCTCCATCAAAAGCCAAGACACCCTTAGATAGTCTCCACTAGAAAGGCTAAACTCAATTTCATATACTCAAGCCTGCCATGGAAGAATATTTTTATTTATTTATTCAATTTCTATAGCTGCCCAGGTATACAATTGAAAACATTATTAAGACACTAAAAACATTTTAAAACAATAAAACCGTCCAAAATAAATACATATAGTAATTGAGATACTGGGCCAGTTAGCAATACAGCCAGGAAACAGGACCCTGAACACATTCAAGCACCTTATGCTCTGGAACATAACCAAATTTTTAGAGCCTTATGAAAGGCTAACAGGATTGGGGCTGTTCTAATATCTGAAGGAAGGACCATCCATATCCATCCACGGGCCACCATGGAAAAAGCCTGTCTTCCCACCAGGCACTATTCTTTGGCTGACAGGATCTGCTGCATGCCCATTCTGTTAGATTGGGTTGGATGGGTAGAGACTGTTGGAAAAAGGCAACCCAGTCTTAGGCCATGTAGGACTTTAAAGGTGACAGCCAGCATCTTGAATTGCACTTGGAAACCCACTGTTAAACAATGCAGCTCACACAAAAGTGATGTCAAATGTGGATTTTAGTCCAGTATTTTTTAGCATCCGCACAAGTCCACCACATATGGTAATATGAGCCAGGTGTCTGATGACATTTCCAACATTTTTCGGATTTATTCTTGAACATTCTTGGGGGGGGGGGGAATGCCACCTGTAAAACATCTTATACAAATTTTCTTTATATGCTGTTGACATTGTCATTCTATAATTTTGAGACCACAATTTTTGCCATTTCTCTAGATCAATCCCATATCCAAAATTCTTCCCCCAAGCAATCATAGTTTCTTTAACTTGTTCTTCTTCTAGTTTAATTTCTAATAAAAATCCATACAATAATAACCTTTTCATCAGTACCTGTCAAAATCTTATCTAAATCAGTCAGTTTATCATAGAACCTTTCTGTTTTAAAATCTTTATCATACCTTGAATGTATTTGCGCATATGAAAACTAATTCATCTTTATACCTTGTTCCTCTAGTTTTTGTACAGATTTAAGTTCACCCTTTTCATTCAATATTTCACCATTCAATATTTCACCATTCAATATTTCACCATTCAATATTTCACCATTCAATATTTCACCAT